AGCCGCAGTACGAGTCCCAGAGCCACTGGTGCACGCGGCGCGCGTACTCGGCCGCGCTCAGCGCCGCCGCCGCCTCGCCGCCGCCAACGGACGCCGCGCACGAGGAGGGCGGCGGTGGCGACGCAGCAGCCGTCGCCGCCTCCTCCTCCTCCTCCCCCGGGCCGCCACCGCCGTCGCGCCGCTCGCTACTGCTGCTGCTGCTGCTGCTGCTACTGCTGCTGCTTCCCGCTGCCGCCATCGCTGCGGCCGCCGCGGGCCCGGGCCGGCCCGGACCTCTCTCCGCCGCGGGCTCCGCCATCTCCGGCAGCGCCTCTGACACTGAGCGTCGCTCGCGCTCAACGCGGCCACAGCGCACGCGCGGGGGCGGCGCCTCGCCTCTACCACGCGTCGAGGAGGGGACGGGGGGGAGAGGGGGGATATGGATGCCACTTAGGAAGAGTCCCTCGGGATGTTTCCCGTCGCTCTCCTTTGGAAGTAGTGTAATATTTCTAAGTAGTCCCCTTTCTGCTTCTGTTCCAGGGAAGACCACGCTTCATCAGGGGGTAGGGAGGCTTTTTCCTTCTATCCACCCCCCCTCTTCGTGTGATGGTCTCGCCCAGCGCGGAGGCACAGCCGCCATGGGGCTGAGTGGAGGGGGTGGGGTTTCGCGCTCGGTCGTTGACGACCGTTAACGGCCGTTGGTGTCGCAGAGTCGTCGGCCGCCTCATGAGGGAGCCGCGACGCGCACAGGTAGCGCCTCCTCCCTCGCCTACTTCTCATGTTCGCCCAGATAGCAGATACATTAATCCTAACAGGCTGCGGTAGGTCATATCAGGTGTATGGACCCCGATAAGGAGTAAGGCTCATTCTCATTCTGCAGATCAGTTTTAAATGGTTCTGATCATGGAGGTGTGTGTTTTGCATCATGCAGCTGACTAGTATCAATACAGAAAACTTATTTCAAAAACATGGCAAGTTTTGTCGTGATTAGGAAGGACACTGAAGAGTGAAAAAAGAGAAGGAAAAGACAGAAGGAAGATACTGGAGTGTATAGAAGAAAACCATTTAATGTACCTTAGAAAAAAGGTACCACAAAAAATTCTTTGAGAAAAAACAAAGGCAAAGAGGAGTCTGAATTTATGAAAATGTAAAAAATACGTTCAACAATTCCAAGATTATGTTTAGCCTGAAATATGTGATCTTAAAATAGCTATTAATTTGTAATAGGAAATTTTGGAAAATGGCAGTAAAAGTAGCTTAGTAGAGATCCACTTGCATAATATTTCACTGATTTCTTTATCAGGTACAACTTCCTTTTTTTTTTTTTTTTTTATTTGGCTGTTTACTGAAAACCTTTCAGAACCAGCCAGTGTCACGCAGACCTTACCTTTTGTGTCTGCATAACCAGAGTTTCTGCAAGCCAGATAAGATCTTTAGTTTCAATTTCAAAAGCTCACAAGCTTCATATAACGCTGCCAGTCACCTGTAAATTTCAGAGTTGTCAAGAGTGTTACAGAAACCAAACCTATTGGATCTCACTGTACAGCTATACTGGATATCCAGGTGAAATTGCATCAGTTGGCAGCAGGGAAGTCACAAGTAGTGGAGGCAGATGATGCAACACTGTGTTTCTTCACTGACAAGTTTTTTAGTTCATTCTTTTGCCTTGAAAACAATACTGCTAAAAAAAACCCCAACAATTTCTGTATAACCAAACGTTTAAATTATTCTGTAATGGTTCT